CCTCCTCCTCCTCCTCCTCCTCCTCCTCCTCCTCTTCCCCCCCCTCCTCCTCTTCCACATCTTCCCCAAAGCCAGTAGTTTCTAAGACAGATTAAGCCCAGCTACCACCCTATTCCCTCACCTCTTATTTTGACTCCGACAGAAAGCCGCCTAGATTTGAACCATCCATGCCCAAACCAGCGACCATCCTGAAAGTCTTATCCTTCCTGGAAGTCCCAGATCTGAGGACAGGATAGCTCAGGTTGTCGATTGGCTATTTAACGGTTAGTCAGGTGAGGACGGGGGATCATTTTCAGGATGGAGGCTTCAACTCTAGGTTTTAGGGGAGTCAGAGACTGGTGCAGCCCAACCTCCATCCCACAGGTGGGCCCCCATTCCCAATTTCTTGGAAACTGGCCAAGGCTATTTCCTGCACCCTAGGCCTGAGCTTGCAATGTGAGCTTGGCCTGTGGGAATGAGGCCCCAAGGGCTGTGTGTGTGTGTGTGGGGGTGCTGCAGGAAGAGCAGAAGGAGAGCCAAGTTATTCCCACCCACTTTTCCCTCAAACACATCACCCATTGGTGAACCCAGGCCGCCCGGTTCACAGTCTCCCTGCTTCTGGATCTCAAGCAATCTGCAGATAAACCCCCTTTAGACGAAAAAACATCAACACTAGCAAGGTTTCCTTTATGCAGGAATTATAGCTTTGGCAGCCAGTGAAAAGAGGTTCACTCCGGGCACCGATGATACCCAAAGAAGGGAAGTCCCCACCCCGGGGCGCCACCGCTTGGGACTCGACAGGACCTTTCGCCGCCGCTGTGAAAATCCCGGAAACCGTCTGCTCCCGGAGCACTGTGGAAAAGGTGACCTCAGCGCCCGGAGCCAGCAACCCTCCCGGGCGGGCCTCGGGCAGTGGGGGGCTCCGGGCTGCAGGGGGTTCTCCGAGCCGCCTGGAAGGTGGGTGGAGAGGCCCCGGGTCGCAGAACCGTTCACCTCGCTGCTGATGCATTACCCCGCCCCCTCCGGCCCCACAGCTTCAGCTGGAGAAGGGGTTCACCTCAACGGAACCCCCTAAGCTTCAGACCTGTCTCCCCCTCCAGTTACATTCTCTTGCTCGCCCTCTCGGGGATTCTGGAATCGAACCAGCGCTCGAAGGGGTCCTTGAATCATTGTGTAGATGGGTGGTTCTGGGCAGGGCAGCGTCCCGCATCTGGGGGGCTGCTGGGTGGGACTGTCCTCCAGCCCGGCCGGGTCCTACCTCTCCTCTTTGCCTGATAGCGGGTTCAATCTTATCAAAACGAAGTTGGGGACGGGGGATGGAGGAAGGGAGATTTCTGTAGAACGGTTGCTTCCTTTCTGGGTACAGTTGGCCAAGCACCCACCTGCCGGGACCCAACACCCCATCTCCACTTGACCGACGAGACCTGGAGCTGAGTTGGGATAGCCCGTGCGCCCCAAAGTGTGCTCTGTCGGTAGGAAGCTCCGCCAGCGCCCCAAGCGGGCTGTCTCCTTGGCAGGTTCTTCTTTGAAGCGTGAACTTGGGATCCAGTGGTGCTGTCCGTGGCTGTGAAGTTCAGCTGGGGGTGGGAGGGGCATCTTAACTTTCAAATGAGTAGTGCTGGGAGGAAGCCGCTTAGACCCCGCTGGGAACGCACAGTTCGGGAAGTCTGCACTCTGCGCCCTGTGCTTGTCTGGGAACCAAGATCCGAAACGTCTACGCTGCCTTCAATGAAAAAACCCTTTGAGAGAGTTAAAGAATTACCCATCCCCACGCTCGGAGGTCCCCATCTCCCCGGGACCGTGAAGTCACATCGTTGGAGAAGCCCATCTCTGCGACGCTTTCTTTTATGAAAAATTCAACTTCCAACGTAGACTTTCGTTTTGAGTCACTTCAAACATGCCGGGAGCCTGAGGGTCAAATCGCGCCTTGGATGACCTCGTTGTTAGAAATAGACTTTTCTTGCGGAATGTCAGTGCCAGATGTCAGTAATTCCAGCTACTCGGGAGGCTGAGATCTGAGCATCGTGGTTCAAAGCCAGCCTGGGCAGTAAAGTCAGCGAGAAGCGTAGCCAATTAACCCACCAAAAAGCTGGAAATGGGGCTGTGGCTCAACTGGTAGAGCACTGGAGGCGGGGGAGACCCAGGCCCTGAGTTCAAGCCCCAGGACTGGCAAGAAAAAGAGAGAGGGGGAGGGAGGAGAGAAGAAAGAAAAGAAAGAAAAAGAAGGAAGGAAAGGAAGGAGAGAGAGAGAGAAAGAGAGAGAGATGTCCCTCTTCCTACAAGGGATCCTTCTTGCAGTACTTTGCAAATTGACCCTTTTGGAATTCCTTTTTCTTTTCTTTACTCTTTCTTTCCCTCTTTCTTTCTTTCTTGTGTGCTGTATATTACTGTGCCATTTCCTTTTGAAATACAAGTTGAAAACGACAGAGCCACAAATATGTAGAATCGGCCCTGCAAGAACTCGGTACTTAGTGGCCAGGATCTCCAAGAGATACTCGGAAGATTCTGTGTCCACTTCACACTCATCCCTAGGCTGCCCGGGGGGCACTTTCGAAGCCACCTGGGATCTGAGTCCGTTCCTGCGATCCAACCGCCCCCAGTCCATTCCTAGGGCGCTGAGTGCCCGCTCCGTGGTGCCTGGTGATGTTGGCTGTTGTTCCTAGGTGCGATCTCACAGAATGGGTGACAGCCTAGGAGGACCTCCGCCCGCAATGGCTGACTCCTATGGCGGATGCCGAACATAAGAGTATGTTCGTTGGACCCCGGGAAGGGAAGGGGACGTCTGATCCCCAACTGTCTGCTGAGGATCCTGGGAGGCACAGAGCCGCTCTGGCCTTAGGGACGAAGAGAGGACGGCTTGTGGACCTCCACGAAGGAACCTCCTAGGACCTGGGCAGGTACCAGCCACCGGCTCGCTATCTGCCTCCTACCTGGGGCTGGCCAGAGCTTGTAAGGCTGTGGGTAACCAGTTCCGAGGCTGCTGCGGTCTGGCCTCTGCCAAGCCTCCAAAATGCAGCCTCAGCAAAGAAGAGGCCCAGGGAGGCGGCTTGTGTACTGTAGTCCCGGCGATGGGAGGAGAGCAGGAAACGCCTAGCATCCTCCCCTCCCTCCCCATTCCCCTCCTCACTCCTTCCTTTCATTTCAATGTCTTTCTTTCTCCTGCGTTTTCCCCTCCTCTTATTCTTAGTCTTCTCTTTCCTCTTCTACCTCTCACTCTCACTTTGGCGCTCCTTTCTATGTGGTTCTCTCTTTCTCTTCCAGTTTTTTTTTTTTCTTCGAAAGGACAAAAGTTCTAAATCAGGCACCTTGGCTTATACCTGTAATCCTTGCTGCTCAGGAGGCTGTCAGAGAATTGTCTTCCAGAAGGAAAGTCCATGAGACTCTTATCTCCAATTAAACACACACACACACACACAGAGAGAGAGAGAGAGAGAGAGAGAGAGAGAGGAAATGGTGGCATAACTCGTCTCTAGCCTTGAGTGAAAAGGGCAAGCAAGAGTGCAAGGCCCTGAATTCAAGTCTCAGCACCGGGAGAGAAGTTTGTCAGTCTTCCCAATAGTGAGAGAAGGGGGCTTCCTATTCCCAGGCAAGCCAGCCTGGTGCCACCCTCTGCCTTTAACAACCCAGGGCTCCTGGAGGGTTCTGTAAGCTATGTGTGGGCCGGGGTCTCCTTGTACCCCGGGTATCCTGTGAGCCAACCATCATCCTGCTAGGTATTCATACTCACATCTTTCTTTCCTGATACAGACAACCAAGGGACAACAGTGTGGCCACAAGCTTTGTCTCAGAACTAAGTCAGGGGCTGGAAGTTAGGCACCAACTCTGCAGAACCTCCCATTAGATACCTCAGGCCCTTGGGAGTAAAGAGGGACACAATGCTTGCATCCAGACAAAGAGATGACAGAGTGAGGATAGGAGCTGGTGCCACCCCACAGTCTCTGTGCTTTTTTGGAGTCCCTCTTCCCATGTCACCTCTGTACTTCCTGCCCCATTCCTGCCCTTTAGTGCAGGGATGGTCTTAGAGGCCTGACTCATAAGGGTTCCAATGTCATGTAGAGCAAGTACCCATGACCCATCTCTTCTCCTTGCTACTATCCTTGAGCAAGATCATTCCTTGTCTAGCCCCCAGTTTCCTCAAATGACAAAACAGGAGGCATGGGTTTTTCTTGTTTGTTTTTTTGTTTGTTTTTTTTAGATGAAGCCTTTTCCTTTTCAATTTCAATAGGATCTTGATAGTAGATTAAAAAATTTTTTAATGGGGCACTGGTGGTTCATGCCTGTAATCCTAGCTACTCAGAAGGCTGAGATCTGGGTTTGGAGGCTTGGAAACCTAGCCTGCCATGAAAATCCATATGAGACTCTTATCGCCAATTAACCACCAGAAAACCAGAAGTACAGGTGTGGCTCAAAGTGGCAGAGCTCAGGGACAGTGCCCAGGCCCTAAGTTCAAGCCCCAATGGCTGGGCATGGGGGGGTAGGAGTGGGGAGGAACAGCTTTGCAGGCTACAGAGCTCCAGTACAAGGAGAGATTCACCCCAGCCGTTTTGGTATGAAAATAACGGTAGGTCCTATGTAAATCAGTGTGAATGGCTTTGTTCCAATCAAGCTTCATTTATGAACACTAAAACTGGGATTTGATATCATTTTCACATGTCAGGAATTTTGTTTATTTGGTGGTAGTGAGGCTTGCTTTCAAGGCTTGGAGTTTGCCTAGCAAGTTCTCTACCACTTGAGCCATATCCTGGTCCCTCTTGTTCTTGTTTGTTTATTTAAAATAGAGTCTCATGCTTTTGCTGGGGCCCGCCTCCCACCAGCATCCTCCTATTTCTATTTTTCTAGTAGCTAGTCACCATGTTTGACTTTTTGAAATATTACCCCTTTCTTTTTTCTTTTTGGTGGTACTGAAGTTTGAACTTGGGGCCTAGAGCTTGTTCAGCTTGCTTGATTGGCTGGTGCTCTGACACTTGATCCATGCCTCTAGGCCAGCCTTTTGATGGCCATTTTGGAGATGGAATCTTTTGGATCCCTTTCCCCAGGCTGGCTCCAAATTACAATTTTCTGGATTTTAGCCTATCGAGCATCTAGGATTGCAGGCATGAGCCATTGGTACTCAGTGAAATATTATTCTTGATTTTTAAAACATAATTTCATGATTATTATTAAGGTACTATACAGAGGGATTACTATTTCATAAGTCAGGTAATGAGTACAATTCTTTTTGGACAATGTCAGCCCTTTCTCTGCTTTCCCCCAGTCTCCCCTCCCATCCTTACCCACAAGTTACATAGTTTATTTTTCACATAGTATATACTGCATATCATGAGTGCATTTTTCACTCTTCCTTCATTTCTGCACCTCCTTTGCCTAAAAAGACAAAATAAAACTCCCAAAGTTTTGTTTTTTAACTATTAAAATATAAAATCAATTCTGTTTATTGGCCGTATGAAACCAGTTCATTCCTGATCTAAAATCATTTTTTTCTGACTTCACTAATGTATTTTATCAGAAATGCTACATTATGTATTTTTTTTCTAGACATATTAAGTTAGGTAAGTATTTTTTTTTCCTTCTGGTTTCTT